AACATGCACACACACCCCAGTAGAATGTTGCCAGGTTTGCAAGACTGGCAGTTTCTTCTAACAGATTTCATGAAGCTGTCAAGCTAGCCCAGCTGGTAGAGCCTATTTATAAATAGGGCAGGGGGATTTGGGTGGGGGGAGTGTTGGAGAGTAGCTGAGGAAAGGGGAGGGCCAGTATGGCATTGCAGTCTGGTAACTGCTGGGCTATCAAAGAATCAACCCAAGAGAGGATCCCGGTAACAGAGAGCAAATCTCCACTGCCATCCTCATGTTTACTCACTCACTCTGCTCACTATGACTCCTAGAGATGCAAAGAGAGGCAAAGAGATGCTGTCACAGTTAGAAATGAGCCCTTCCATTCTAGCACTGTCTTCAGATACTTCTTCCACCACAGGCCAAAGGAGAATCTTCTTTCCACAAGATCTCAAAGCACATAGTCAACAGCTTTCTAGCTGGAATGATGGAAGAACAGTATTACCAGGAGACAGGTTACCTCTCTGAAGCCTGACTGGCCCATGCCTTTTTTTCTCTCTGTTGCTAGGGAAAGACAAGGAATATTGGGGCATGGTGATAAGGTCCATGTATCATCCGTCTGTGTCCCAGAAGGAACCTCAAGTTGTTGTTGTTGTTGTTTTCCCTGAGCCCTAGGACTTGAGAGCCTTCTCAGACTTCAAATTCTTGTCTAATGTTTTTTCATAATGTTTCCATCTAACTCTGGGCTGAAGTCTGAGCTAATGGGGACTTTTAAGAGCTAAATCATCCTTGTTAAGAACTATTAGTGAAAGAAAAACAGGGAATCACAAAAATGTCAGTGTACCTTAAGGCTTTAAGCCTTAACAGCTTATATCACCCACAGATGGGTGGCACAGTGGATAGAATGCCAGGCCTGAAGTTAGGAAGATTCATCTTCCTGAGTTCAAATTTATCCTCAAACACTGACTAGCTGTGTGACCCTAGGCAAGTTATTTAACCCTGTTTGACTCAGTTTCCTCATCTGTAAAAATGAACTGGAGAAGGAAATGGCAAAACATTCCAGTATTTTTGCCAAGAAAACTCCAAATGGTATCATATAAGATCAGACATGACTGAAAAATGACTGAACAACAATGAATATCCACTATGTGCCAACCACCATGCTGGGGGCTGAGGTCACAAAGATCAAAGCAAAATAACCTCTCCCCTCAAGGAACTTAAATTTTAATGAGGAGACAATGTGTGTGTGTGTGTGTGTGTATGTGTGTATGTATCCAGGAAAGACCTCCTAAACAAGATGGAGCTTGTGCTGAGTCTTGAAAGAAACCAAGGATTCCAAGAGAAGACTGTGAGGAAGGAGTGCATTCTAGGTATGGGAGACAGCCCGGTGAGGGCATAGAGATGGAGATAGGGGTTATTGTGTGTGAGGAACAAGAAAAAGGCTAAGTGGGCTGAACTATAGAGGGGTAATGTGTAATAAAGCAAGAAAAGTAGGATGGGGCCACATTGTATAGGGTTTTACAGGCTAAAGAGAGTAGTTCATAGTTGATCCCAGTGGTAATAATGAGCTACTGGAGTTCATAGAGTAGGGGGTGATACATTCAGACCTGAGCTTTTAGGAAAATCACTTTGGTAACTATACGGAGAATAGGTTGGAGCATGGAAAGATTTGAGAGAAAGAGAGAAAATAATGAAATGACAGATATGAACAAAAGCTTTGGAGATAGAGTCAGATAGAGATAATAGAGACAGAGATATGGATAGAGACATATATGGTTCATTTCTCATCTGATGAAGAAACTGAGGTAAATAGCTGGAAAGAGTGTCAGTAAAGGGTGGAGGTGGGCAAATTCAGTGTAGGTTTGGGAGAGAGAATAATCCAGTTTGGCTGACTTAGAGAAGGCATGAAGACAAGTTTAAATAAGGGTAGAAAGGTAAAGTAGTTCTAGCTAATGAAGGACTTTGAATACAAGGCAAAAGGAATTTGGGCTTTATTTGGGAGGCAACAGGCAGCCATCAACAATTTTTGACGAGATTTATGCGTAAGGAAGATTAGTTTGGGAAGAAAGAAAAAATTAGTCTGGAAGCAGTATGGAAGAAAGATTGGAAAGGGGTGAAAGTTAAGGCAGGAAGACATGTTAAGAAAGTATTGCAATAACCAGGAGAAAATTTGTCAAGTCTTCTTGACTCCAGGTCCAGCATTGTATTTACTGTGCCATCTAGCCGGAATTATGGGAGATAAACAGGAATAGAATAGTGAGAAGCAGCAGCATTTAAGTAGAGGAGAATAACACACTTATTTTGAACATGTTAAGTTTGAAATACCAGTAGGGTTTCCAACTGGATGTACAATACAATACAATGCAGTACAGTACAATAAACATTTATCAAGTACCCACTATGTGCCAGGCAGCTAGGTGGCACAGTAGATAGAGCTCTAGGCCTAGAGTAAGGAACACCTGAGTTCAAATCTGACTTCAGACACTTCCTTGGTGTGTGACCCTGGGCAAGTCACTCAACTGTTTTCCTCAGTTTCCTTATCTGTAAAATGAGCTGGAGAAGCCATGACAAAACACTCCAGTATCTTTAAAAGAAAACCTCAAATGGAGTCAGACACGACTGAAACTATTGAATAATAACAAATGTGTCAGACATCATGCTAAGCGCGGAAGATACAAAAAAGAAAAAGAAAGAAGTTGAAGAGCCTCCAGTCTTATAGGGGAAGATAACACATGAAGACAAGCTAGAAAGCAAGGGTAGATGGGAAGGGAACCACCAGGGGGCACCTGGTGCAGGGGACATCATGTTCTGTGGAGCTGAAACCCAGCAGAGCTACAGATGGAAAGTGGAGAGTTAGCTGGAAAGTCCAGGTCTCAGTGTTCTATAAAAGAAAGCTTTGAGAGGACTTAGTGCTCCACCTTCCAGTGTTGAGTGTCCAAAGCTGAGTTGGCCCTCAGGGTGATGGGATTTCAGGTGATCAGTTTCTCCTGGATTTGTCCAATAAGCAGTTGGAAAGAGTGTCAGTAAAGGGTGGAGGTGGGCAAATTCAGTGTAGGTTTGGGAGAGAGAATAATCCAGTTTGGCTGACTTAGAGAAGGCATGAAGACAAGTTTAAATAAGGGTAGAAAGGTAAAGTAGTTCTAGCTAATGAAGGACTTTGAATACAAGGCAAAAGGAATTTGGGCTTTATTTGGGAGGCAACAGGCAGCCATCAACAATTTTTGACGAGATCTATGCGTAAGGAAGATTAGTTTGGGAAGAAAGAAAAAATTAGTCTGAAAGCAGTATGGAAGAAAGATTGGAAAGGGGTGAAAGTTAAGGCAGGAAGACATGTTAAGAAAGTATTGCAATAACCAGGAGAAAATTTGTATTAAGAGGAACAAATAAATGAAGATGTTCTGGGTAAGATATTATGGAGGTAAATTAGACAGAACTTGGATGTTAGAGGGTAGTGCAGGTGAAGGGTCAAAGATAACACCAAAGATTTCATCTTGGAAACTACACGAGTGGTCAGATCACAGGCAAGAAACAGGGAAATCAGAAAGATTGTAGGATCAAAGATTTAGAACTAGAAGAGGCCTGAAAGGTCATCTAGTCCAGACCCTACATTTTACAGATGAGAACACTGAGGCCCAGTAGGTTAAGTGACTTACTCAAGGATGAGAGGCGTCATTAGAACCCAGTTCCTCTGGTTCCAGAGTCAGTGTTCTTTCCATTGAGCAAGGAATAGATGCAGTGGGAAGTATATAAATGGTTTTTGTTGTGTTTAGTCATTTTCAGTCATGTCCAACTCTCTGTGACCGCATTTGGGGTTTTCTTGGCAAAGATACTGGAAGTGGTTTGCCGTTTCCTTCTCCAGCTCATTTTACAGATGAAGAAACTGAGGCAAACAGAGTTAAGTGAGTGACTTGCCCAGAGTCACAATCTGTGAAGTGTCCGAGCTACGACGGT